GGATGAGAGGTGAAACATCTTCAAGCAACTTAAAGAAGTCCAGATGCTTTTCTTTGCAAGCTCCTTTGAATAAATTGGCCTAATTGACATAATTTGATGTATCATTAGTTCAGGGGATATAAATATTCACACTGACAACAGCAACAATGAAAAGTGATATAAAACAGACAATCCCTTTATTAGAATGTTTTGACTTTAAATAGCATGTGAATGGACCCATTCATACAAAAGGTCACACACTTGCTCTAATTGTTTCCAAACGCCTTGATGTCACATTTACAAATGTTCAAAATGTTGCTCTCTCGAATCATTATTGTGTGTTTTATTTGTCTTGTCAAAACAAATACCAACCGATTAATTAACGAGCATTACATCAATGGCATCACAGGTGACATATTTATCAGCGAACTTTCAAAGCACACATTACAAGTACTGTTATCATATCATTAAATGCTGCATAATTTCTCCGATGCAATTTCTCAAATAATTAATTATATTGATTTTGCCAGAAATGTAGATATACATAATCCACCTAAAGTTCCTGGAAGAAACAAAGGAAAGGTAAAGATGGCAGAAATAAAATGCTCCAGACCTTTTATTCAGCTCACAAGTCAATTGGTTTAAGAGTTGGTCAGGTCATGTTTTTCACTGGTACTCATCATACCAAAAGTGCAAACGTTTTTGTGTTTTAATTCGTAGCTTTGGAACTGCTCAAATAAAAATTCAAAGGATTTTCCTTTGGGTCTATCACCGGTCTGTTACACGTTAACCTTCACATAGTCCTGCTTGGTGCTGTCATAAAAAATCTCAATATATCCCATCATTCTTATGCACATGACACTGCTTCACCTAACCTGAACCCTTTTCCTAACATGATCTAACCTTTTTTTTTTTTTTAACAAACTAATAAGCTGCACTGATGACATTAACTCTGGATGTCTAGAAACTTTATAGAATTTTTTTTAGAACAGAATTATTTGTAGTCAGTTAGTTCACATTTATCTTTCCTGCCTCTGAAACACAGCAAAGAAGTCAGAAACCTTGGCATCATTTTGAACAGCGATCACAGTTTTAATAGTAATAATAATAATAATAATACATTTTATTTAAATAGCGCCTTTCAAAGCACCCAAGGACACTGTACAACAGATAAAAACTGGAAATATACACAATGATAAAAATAGAAGATAAAAGTTAAAACATACAGAAATTTAAGAATAGGCAATTTTAAACAGATGAGTTTTGAGGGTGGACTTAAAAAGAGAGAATGAACTAATATTTCTGAGGTCCGGGGGTAGGGAATTCCAAAGTCGAGGGGCAGAGCAGCTAAAGGCCCTCCCTCCCATTGTGATCAGACGAGCAGAGGGAACAGAGAGAGAAAGAGAAGATGAAGATCTGAGGCAGCGGGATGGGACCTTCATCTGTAATAAGTCAGAGAGGTACGGTGGAGAGAGAGAATGAATAGCCTTGAATATATACAGAATTATTTTAAAATGGATGCGAAATTTGACCGGGAGCCAGTGAAGTTGCTTCAGGATTGGGGAGATGTGGTGGGTAGAAGAAGTCCTAGTAATAATACGGGCAGCAGAGTTCTGGACACGTTGGAGCTTGTTGATAGATTTTTGTGTAAGGCCAAATAATAATGAGTTGCAGTAGTCAATTCTAGAGATAACAAGATTATGGATGAGAATGGCAGTGGCGTGAGGTGTGAGGAAGGGGCGGAGGCGATTAATGTTACGGAGTTGGAAATATGCTGCACGTGTAATATTATTGATATGTGAGTTAAAGGATAATGTGCTATCGAGAATGACACCCAAGCTTTTCACAGAGGGAGAGATAGGGACCAGCGAGTTATTGATGGTGAGAGAGAAATTGTTAATTCTGGATAGCAGTCGTTTAGTGCCAACCAGAAGAAGTTCCGATTTATTGCTGTTGAGTTTAAGAAAGTTGGAGGAGAACCAAGAATTAAGTTCAGCTAGACAGAGGATGAGGGAGGGTGGAGGAAGAGTAGAGTCAGGTTTGGTAGAGAGATAGAGCTGGGTGTCATCGGCGTAGCAGTGGAACTGAATATTATATTTACGAAAAATATGTCCGAGTGGAAGAAGGTAGATGATGAAAAGAAGGGGCCCGAGGACAGATCCCTGGGGCACCCCAGTGGATAAAGGAGAAAGCTGAGAAGTGAAGGATTTTAATTGAATGAACTGAGTGCGGTCAGATAGGTATGATTTAAACCAGGCTAGTGGAGTGTGAGAGAGACCAATAGAAGCTAATCTGCTAAGGAGAATGGGATGAGAGATGGTGTCAAAAGCTGCACTCAGATCAAGAAGGATAAGGATAGAGAGGAGACCAGAATCAGCTGCTATAAGAAGGTCGTTTGTTATTTTTATAAGAGCAGTTTCAGTGCTATGTAGAGGACGAAAGCCAGACTGGAACTGTTCGTAAAGGTTATTATCAGTTAGGTGAAGATGGACTTGTGAAGCAACTATTCTTTCAAGGATTTTTGAGAGAAATGGTAGATTGGAGATAGGACGAAAATTATTAAAGTTGTTGGGATCTAGACCAGTTTTTTTCAGAATTGGGGTAATAGCAGCAACTTTGAAGGAAGCAGGAACAGTTCCAGTGGTGAGTGAAGAGTGAATAATAGCAGATATGAGGGGAAGGAGAGGGAGTAAGCAGGCTTTGACGAGGACAGTGGGGATAGGATCGAGCTGGCAGGTAGAAGGCTTTGATTTATGGATGAGATCAGCAATATCAGCTAAGGATGGAAGTTGAAAAAAAGAGAGGAAGTGAGAAGGGGGAGAAGTTAGGACAGAGAAGCTACATTGAGCATTAGGGTCCAGGTCTAAGTGTATTTTATGAATTTTATCAATAAAGAATAGCATTAGAGCATCACAGAAGTTAGATGAATAGAGATGAGCAGGGAGAGATAATAAGGTCTGCTGCCAGAGTCGTTACACGTACATGGAAATTTGAACATGTGCTGAAGTGCTTAACTACTTCATTGGCTCCCAGTTCAAAAAGTTAATTTTAAACTTTATGAACTAAACGTTCGCTGCCTTACTGCTCACTGTCTGCAACCCAGTTAAACAACATCAGGTGTCCCCCGAATTAGAGCTACATGTCGTGAGGGTGGTTTCTGTTACTGTGCTCCTATATTTGTAACAAGTTGCCTGCTGACCTGAGGTAAGTTACAGCTGTGCCTGCATTCAAAAAACGACTCAATAAGTCAAAAGCTGAGTGTCTGTGAGTGTGTGTGCATGTTAGCTGTTTTAACTATTATAAGATTTCTTTTTCAGCTGTCATTATAAACCTATATAGATTTGTGTTTATTTTTACTCTCTGTAGTAAGCAGATTGAATTTGAGTATGACGAATTCTGCAACATGACTAAAGTTGCCATTACCATGATTTGGTCAAACATTGCAAATATTTTAGTATTTCTAGTATGTTGTTTGTATGCCCACAATTTTTTCCTTGTTGCTCCTTGTTTGTTGTGTGTCTGAACATCTGGATTGTTTTTTGGACTTTACTTTTGCCATATTTGGATTTGTTTGCCTCCTCTGCCTTCCTGTGTACAGCTTTCTGGATTAAAGATCTGGATTTTTGGGTGTCCTGCTTGTGGGTCTTGCTCCTTCATGATCATTGTAATTAACTGTTTACTCTTAAAAAGCTATAAAATAATCACTAATATAAAAAACATTAATAAGCAACAATCTCAACTCGTCACATTTTAATACAACCTGTTCAAGTTCAAACAAAATGAAACAGTGAAAATGAAGCAGGACACAAACATCAGCGATATTGCAAAAAAAACAACAAAAAAACATCCTAATGTTTATAAATGCACTACCTATAAATTGCTATTTTAATTGCAACCATCCATATAATTAATTAATTAAACATAATATAAAAACAAACTAGTAACCAATTAGCACAAATATTGTTTCAGTGTTTGTTTTCGGTAAGTGCGATTATGTTAAAGAATCAGCGGCTTTATGTCTCCACTGGGTTTTCAGTCTAAAAGATAGTTTCAGAAGCACGATGACAGTTTAAAGCCGCAGCAGCTTGACCTCTGCCTATTGATGCCAATGTACACTGTATGTCTGTGAAGGTTCTCAGTCATCCAGGTCATTGTAGTCAAAAGAGCTTGCAAAGAAAAGCGTCTGGACTTCTTTAAGTTGCTTGAAGACGTTTCACCTTTCATCCGAGAAGCTTCTTCAGTTCTAAGGTCAAATGGTGGAGAGTCCCAGATATAAACCTAGTGGGAGAATCCCCCCACAGAGGGACAAAAGGACCCCCTGATGAAACTGGTTCACCCGAAAGACAAAACGCCAAAACACAAACTTAATAATGTGGTGTATGCTGTACAGTGCAGCGAGGAATGCTCAGACCTCTACATTGGAGAGACCAAACAGCCACTTCACAAGCGCATGGCACAACACAGAAGAGCCACCTCCACAGGACAAGACTCAGCAGTCCATCTGCATCTTAAGTATAAAGGACACTCTTTCGAGGATGCCAATGTTCACATTTTGGACAGAGAGGACAGATGGTTTGAAAGAGGAGTGAAAGAAGCCATCTATGTCCACTGTGAGCGACCATCTTTGAACAGAGGCGGGGGTTTACGACACCAACTGTCTGCCATCTATAATCCAGTTTTGAGATCCCTTCCCAGACGCCTTAACGCCCACTCATATCCTGGGCCATCTGACCTCAGGAATTCGCATGATAAGGTGGGGCCAGGTTTCACAATGAACACACCCGAAACTCTGGCTGATTGGGACCCACACCCAGTTTCACACCTTGGCTCAGGCGATTAGAGGATCATCAGGGGGTCCTTTTGTCCCTCCGTGGGGGGATACTCCCACTAGGTTTATATCTGGGACTCTCCACCATTTGACCTTAGAACTGAAGAAGCTTCTCGGATGAGCAAGCAACTTAAAGAAGTCCAGACGCTTTTCTTTGCAAGCTCCTATGTACACTGTAATGTGAATTTGAAATTCTGTAATGTGAAACACTTCTATTTGTTTCAAAGATTCAACTCTTTAGAAATAATTAACCAGATCAACAAAAATGGGAAACTGAAACTTCAGCAGAAAGGTGACACTGTGAAAACACTGTCAGCAGTGAAGTTTAAAATGAACCGTAATAGCACTGAAGAAATAAGGTAAGTGTCATGTACACTTATTTTGTCATTGAGAATATTCCATCCAATTAAGACTTCTTTGTTCTAATGGGGCTAACAGGCCAACATTAATGTTGCACACTGAGCTACCACATCATTACATGGTTGCCTCCTACTGGGTGGTGTTGTAAGAAGGGAGGAAGGGGAGGCACTGGAAACATCTAAACCTTTTCAAAACCTTGTTGCAGAAAGGTATATCATAGCATGACTGGTCATGCATGTTTTTGCTTCCATCTTGCACCTTGTCCTGCCAGCTCTTGATACCTCTCTCTTTGTCAGTACCTGAAAAAGATGGGATGAGGTTAGATGATAGAGCTTACTTTATAATTGATTGTCTTTAACACAAGTATTCTGTCATTCACCTGGAATGGTGTTATCCAGTATGAATCCAAAAAATCCACCGATGAACATATGTGTGGTAAAAAGCACTACAATCAATTGGTCCAGCTCTTTTATTCCTTTAGAGACAAGAACAAACAAAACAAGTCGTTAACCTTTATTAGCCAAAGATAAAAGAACTATAAATCTTGTACAAGATTATCGTTGCGCTTGCCTCTTCCATATGAAGGCAAGGATTCATTCTTTTTAAAACTAAATCAAGGCTTAATCATCCATCCACCCATTTCCTTAACTTCTTATGCAGTTTAGATCACAAGGGTGCTGGAGCCTATCTTAGCTGACATGCCAGTCCAGCATAGGGCCAACACAGAGAGACAGACAGCATTCACTCTTACTCAGTTTACTGTGTGAGGAAGCCAGAATGCCTGGTATGCACTTTTACCACGGTTGCTGAGTTTACCATACACATTTTTTTTTGTGTGGTGTTTGGTTGTATTCAAGCATCTTAGAAGCAAACGGGTGAATCCCTATATGTCTGACTGAGATGGATTTGTCTGAGATATTTTATATTTTATCAGTGGCCTGTAAACTGTTTGTGGTATTTTTTGACAGTTAAAAACTTTCTTTGTTTGAGGTTTTCAAAACATTCGACTTCACATAGACACAAATAAATGAATATATTAAAGTATCTTAACTTGCTCTTCACTGGGAGTTGCACTGTGCTCTTGTTTATATAAAATTTTTAACTGGAGAGTGGATCAACTTGGTGAGGTTATCTGGTTATGGCTTACCGAGAAATGTCTATTTCAAATTAATTAATTGTATTCACACATTAGGCTAAAAACTTGATAGTGCCAAGAGAAAGGATTTTTAAATCTTATCAAACCTTATTAAAACTTAAAAAAAATCACATTTAACAGGATATTTTGTATAAGTAACTTGTATGTTCCCTTGACCACTGAAATCAAAGACAAGCTAGATAATGCTTCCAAATAACTATTCAAATCACTTCCCGGATACAGTTAAAAATGGACTGACTTTTTGAAGCAATCTGGGTCAGTACAGAATGTGATGTCACTAGGTTGTTTGGTTGCTAATAGATTCCCATTAGTTTATGTTAGCTAGTTAGTGACAAAACCAATAACGCCATGGAAAGTGTTTAATTCAAGTCAGTTCTATAGAAATAAAACTAAAGTGGCTTCATGGTGCTTCATATTGTAAGGTAAAGACCCTACAACAGGGGTTCTCAAACTTTTAGGGGCCAGGGACCCCATACAGGGGGTAAAATATTTCCAAGGACCCCCTTATAACTCTCATGCTTTGAGATGAGATGCCACTTTAGCTTGGCTGGCTTCATTGCTTCATTTTCTAGCACTTGAAGACACACAATGCATTTTGGTCTTCCATCAACATTCTCGATAAAGCCAAACTCGAGGGGACTGTTGTCACTGGCACATGTTTTTAAGTGCCACTATGCGCCAGGTGACACTATGTGTTTTCACAGACCCCCAATCTGCACCTTGCATACCCCTAGAGGTCTGGGGACCTCACTTTGATAGCCACTGCCCTACAATAATAGAGAGAAAACCCCAACAATGAAATGAGCAATCACTTTGAGCAATCACTTTGAGCAATCACTTTGAGCAATCACTTTGAGCAATCACTTGGCAACAGTGGGAAGGAAAAACCCCTTTTAACAGGAAGAAAAGTCCAAGAAGGAAGTGGCTGCCTGCCACCACTGGTTGAGTTTAATGAAAGGAAGAGAGAATTAAAAAAAGCACACTGTGAAAAGAGCCAGAGATTAAGTAAATCAAGGTGAACTCAAACTTAAAAGTGGTCTGATACTGTCCTTCCTGTGTTTTTTCTTTGTCTGGTGGGTAAACTGAGAGGGGCAATTAACTAGCAGAGCAGATGTCCACTAGATGTGATCAGTACCATTTTATGCCATAAAATACTTTCTTTACCCAAGCACATCCAAACATAACTAAGTTTCTTACCAAAGCACGATCAGGAATCCTACCATCCAGTGATATGTTCATCTAAGATAACTCTTTATTGTCATTGCACAGTCATACATAGTACAGTAGTACAATGAAATCCATCCATCCCTCCATTCATTTTCTTTCGCCTATCAGGAGCAGGGTCATGAGGGCAGAAACCCAAGCAGAGAAGCCCAGACTCACTGTCCTCAGCCTCCTCCTCTGCTTATCCAGGGGAATAACACCAAGACACTTTCAGGCCAGCCAAGAGATGTAATCTCTCCTGTTTGTCCTAAGTCTGCCCTGGGGCCTCCTCTCAGTGGGATATGCCCAGAACACCTCAACCAGGAGACACCTAGGAGGCATCCTTATCAGATGTGCAAACCACTTCAGCTCGCTCCTTTTGATGAGCATGTCCACGGAACAAAAAAAATCTCCCTGTGGACATGCTCATGCATTCTAGGATTATCAGTTATGCTTCAGTTTCTTGTGTGATATATAAGTAGTAAACTGGTTGGATATGCTTTTGAGAGAAGAAAAACTATTTTATTGCATAAAATAGCACTGATCGCATCTTGTAGACATATATCTGCCAGTTGATTGAACTGCTCAGTCTGTCCACTCAACCTAACAACAAAAATCACACACAGAGGGGACAGTGTCGGACAGTTTGTCTGTGTGGTGAATCAACCGTGAGCCTGACTCAAACAAGCTCTTTTGCACATAGTCTTCATTTATTAAACTGCTCGACAAACTCTAACACTACAGTCAGCAGGAGAATTTTCCCATTACAGTGCAGCTAGCCAACAATAAAGAACAACTTACTGCTTAGGAGACAGAGAGTAAAGTTGATTGTAAAACAAATTAGTTTTTTAACATAAAAGTTATTGCTACAGCCAGGGGCGATTTAAAAGTGACACCCCCGAGACTGCTTTTTACTTTTAGTTTCCCTGTTTTCTATTGAGTTATCAATTCTGTTACTAGCTAGCTAATGCAAGACTATTAGCAGCAACCAACCAACTTAGTGATCTCACATTCTGTACTGGCACAAGATGGTGCTACGCATGCTCTAAAAATTGTAACTCTAAATACTTATTTCTTAAATCAACATTCACAGATAGTGCTAAATCTTAGAGTATTTTAAGTTGGGCTCCATGGTTTATTACACATTAATACACAACCACAGCAAAGTGTGTAATAGACAGGCTGGTCCAAATCGAGAACTGGATACACATGCAGAATCTGCATTACCAACAGGGGGAGATAATATATTTAAAGTCAGGAAGTCAGTAGTGAGCACAGAAAGGTATGATTTACATTCTTGGGTCGTTAATCGACAGAAATGATAAAGCTAGTTGGCTAATATGTATTTACATATGAATAATGTCTGTTTAAAATGTGTTCCCATGATTATTTCAATGTTAGTTTGAAATAAAATATCTCACTCTGCTGGTTCTGCAGCTTACTGCAACTTTGCATGCGTCTCCATTTCATGCTTTGGAGAGGCAAAGTATAAAATGGCGAACTGGCGTGTCTGTTGCACATTTTGCCGTGATACTGTCATGTCCACTTTAAGGTGATTGCTTTCTTTATTAACATACAAAAAGTCTGCCTTTATAATAATTTTATAGTGGCCAGGAAGTCATGATGATAAAGCCATGATGTAAAATCTGCTTATGTATTAACCACAGTATATGTGACAGTATGTGTGACTGATTACTTCTTTTTGCTGCACTGCCCCATTACACTGGACCTTAGGGTTCCCCCACCTACCAAATCCTATTTTAACTCTTTTTTTTTTATTAAGATTTGTACCATATCAACCCTTATTTATTTTCTTAGGATTGGGGTATAGAGGAAGGACATGACTTCCAGAAAACAGTTTGGAGAAACATGGTGCAGCGGTGCACAAGGAGATGACCTAGAAGGGGACAACGTCAATGTAAAACTAGCTACTATCTGATGCCAATAGTAAAAATACATATATTTTTGTAACTGATGAACTGATGTAAATTAATCTTTTACATGGAGACATTTTAAGTGAAGTGGATAATAAGAAACAGAACATGTAGTAGCATTCTAAAAGTGTCATGAATCGCTGTGCGGCAGGCAGGAGTTGGACCCAAAATGCAAGACTCACAGACTCAGGGGATGAACTCAAAAATCACAGCTTTATTTGCTGGTAGGACAAACATACAAACTAAACTAAACTAACCTAAACTAAACTGGGGAAACAACAAACTAAGAACTCACAGAGAGACACAGGGCGATCCACACAGCATGAGGGACGACACGACACTGACTCAGAGAAACACAGGGTTTAAATACAATGAGAAGTAACGAGGGGAATGAGACACAGAAGGAGAGCACAGCTGGGAGAAATCAGAACTGATGAGACAAGGGAGCAAAGTAGGATACACTCACATGAGACACAGACCTTCAAAGTAAAACAGGAATTAGCACAGATGCAAACTAGACTAGGGGAGACAGCAACTAAGAAACACAGAGGGCAGCTACTAAATAATCAGAGAACTAAACAGAATACAAGAACACCAAACTAAGACACTACACTAAAGAACAAGCTAGGACAACAACGAGAACTAAGAACATAATACAGAAAACTCAGAGGCACAAGAAACTCAAAACACTGGGTCACTGACCCAGGACCGTGACAAAAAGAGCAAATTTGCTGGTAGTTTAATAAAAGCCACATTGTTGAAACAAAGTGGTAACATAGGTACAATTTGCCTGTAGCACCTCACAAGAGTGTCCTGTGACATTGACAAAAGAGCCACGGATGTTTAGATATATGGATTTGTAAAGGTTTCTGTTGACCAAGGGGCACCGTTTTTAATCACTAGAGACCACTAAGATACTATAAAATCCTGAGTCAGAGTTGGCTTTTCATGTGGCATGTGTGACCATGAGCACATGGTGGAATACAGAGGGCCATTCAAAATGGAAATGCCTGCAAGTCCAAGGCCGTGCTTTCATAATCCTTCTCAGGCAATAAACTGCATAATGAAGTTGTACTGAATTGAATCAAGAACTGCAAACAGCGCTGACGTAGTTTGACTCTGAAAAAACTCTTGTTCAAATAACCCATCCCAAAACATATACACACAAAGGAACACACACAC